TCAAAGAACGAAAAAAATTTTTAGCAGTTTGTACAAATACCGCAATGTTTTTTTATCAATGTTTGTACAAATACCGCAATTTTTATTTGTTCGCAATGTCAAGCTAGCTATTAATTATAAATAATAGCTAAAAAAAATATTATCTAAAAGCGTTTATTGCTTTGAAGTAGCTTGGTAACGGATAGATTAAATTTGAACTTTAAACAACCTATGTATGCTTTACTGAATGACAACAAGCCGGCGCTTGAAAGATTGAAGTATTTTATTTCATTCAGCGGCAAAACGTTGTTTTTAAATAGTCGAGTTTTTTTTAATAAAGGTGAAAGATTTTGAAAGATGAAAATTAGATTCAAAGAATCGCGAATGGCAACAATCTCTTTCGTTGGAAATAAAAATAATACTAAATTGTTTTATTTAGTTACGATAAAAATATTTCTGTTCGCTACTGCTTGCCTTCAACTCGCTGAGTTTGTTCATGAAAATTAATTAAATTCGTACAAAATACGAAATAAATCAAAAATCAATTAAATTGGTACAAAATACGAAATAAATCAAAAATAAATTCAAAATTCGTGCTTCAAGGTACAGATATGCGGGTACTACTTTTGTTCAAAATTCGTTAAAAGTTTACAAAATATGAAATAGATAATAAAACAAATTCCAAATTTGTGCTTCCAGATGCCCATATTCGAGTGGAGGATTACGTTATTCAAAATTTGATGACTCTAGTTTCCGTTGTTTTATCACAGTGCGAGAAACATAAATACATTTAAGCAGATTCTTCGTTACTTAGTTTCTTTAAATATTGTTGCGTGCGTACGGATTCGTTATGAAATGAATGCACAAGTCCGATGAAAAATGAACAAAAATTTATTATTATCACAACAGAAATGCTTAAATTTTCTCAAATTATCATGCAGTATCACAATATCTCACAGTAGTTATCTTTTAACTACTTAAATGTACAATAGAACGTAATTCAAAACAGCTAAAGAACGCTAATCCGCGAATTCGCTATAATCAACAACGGCAGTTTTCTAAACAACAACAAACTAAGCAACTCCTACAAACTGAGATGTTTTCCTCCTTTTATAAGATTTTTATTTTAAAATCACGCGCTAGAATTTTCCAGTACTTTCTCGAAATCAAAAAGAGATATTTATTTATTTAATGCACGCGCTCTTGTATTTTCAAATTTTCCGGCTTAGCTTTCTTTTAATATTCGTCACGCGCTGCACTGCGCGAGAAATAAAACCATTTAATTTATAATTGAACTAACATTAGCTTTTTAAATACCAAATTCGTAACACTGCCCCCTTCCCAAGGACTGCACGTCCCGGGCAGTACAATCCCTAGACAGGAAGCTAAACTTACAACTGTGGCATAAATGCAACTGAGGCATAAACATTACATTACAATATCAACCAATATAAACAATATATGCAATAACTAACTTAAACAAATCAAATGCTATCAAATACTAAATACAAAACAAATACTAAATGCAAATCAAATCAAATACACATTTATAAACAAAAAGGACCATGGTCTGATACTATTTACAATTATTTACATTACGTACTATGGCCATAGTAATAAGCTAACCTGTCGTAAGAGTTCGAAGACTCACGGATCCGAACCACGACGTCATTCAGCCTGTTTCAGGCACTGTATATGGACCATCCCGAAAGTGACTGCAATTTAGGACTCAGTCCTTTTCGTTGAATTGGGTTCCACAACCACACCTTGTCTCCTTTGTTGGATCTCTGTCTAGTAGCTCTTGTGTCGCATCTGGTCTTCATTTTCTCCGTCGCCAAGTTGACTCGCTTTCGTGCAGAACGGTGCATCCCCTCAAACCGGGCCTGGGCATCTTGGATGTGTTCCTCAGACGATGAAGGCGCATCCGTAGGGCGACTAAACAGGCGGTCACAAGACAGACGAAGGTCTCGACCGAAGAGCTTCTGGGATGGAGAATAGCTGGTAGTCTTGAGTTTCTTTTCGACCCTGGTATGATTTCGGCAGCTTCCCGAGCTCGATCTTTCGGACAAGGCGTCGACATTTCCAGGCGAGGATCCCTTTTTGAGGATGGATAGTCATGCCATCAGATGCTGAAAGCAGCTTATTGTTTTTGAAATCTAAGGAAAAATTGTATTTCCTTAAAAAGTCCAATCCGAGTATGCATGGATCTGTAATATCCGCCACATATGCCGTGTGATGGTAGGCGGCACTTCCAAACGTGATGTTTACGTTTAACTTCCCAGTTATGTCGATCTTGTCACCAGACGCAGTCTGAAGGGTAACACAGGATGGCGTCCAAATAAGTTTATCTTTAAACTGTTCAGCTAAATCTTTCCTAATGATGGTAACATTAGCTCCTGTGTCAATGATCATATTGCAAGGAACTCCATCGATGTACCCATTGATGGACAGTCCGTTACTGTTGCCACTCACTGTAGAAATCTTGAGCGCTTTAAAACAAGGTTTTTCATTCTCTGGCAACATCCGTTCCTCGATATGGCCATTAATTTGTTTCCTGCGTCGTTGCTGGGAAATGGTCTTAATTTCCGTATTCTGGGGTTCTTTCGTACGTGGCCTTCAGCTCCACAGTTCCAGCACTTTAGTTTCTTGTCAATCCTTTTCCTTCCCGTGGTCAATTTAATTGTCTGTTTAAATCGCCTCTCTTATTTTCCGTGCTCTGGGGGACTGTTCTGCAGTTCCTTCGTAGTGTGGCCTTCAACACCGCAGTTCCAGCACTTTAGGGTTCGGTTTTGTTTCACCACTATTCCGTCTCAAAGCATTCACTGGTCTTGTCAAACTCATCCGTTTCATTATCCGTGCCCTGGGGGGTGTTCTGCAATTGCCGTCGTAGGTGACCTTCAGAACCACATCTCCAACATCTTACAGCCACTTTGTTCTCACTTCTACTCCGTATCAAAGCATCGACTTATCTGGATAAATCATCTAAACGAGCCATCAATTGGTCCCCTGGGTCGTGGACTCGCACAGCTCTGACTGGGTAGCGATCCCTAAGAGTTGCTTGCTGGGCTGCCTCCAATTTCACGGCGTACAACAGAGCGCTTTTTACATCCTTTACATCTGCCATTCGCAGTGCTTTCTGTATTTCAGTATCTCGGATGCCGTCGATAAAGTATTGCAAGGACAGGATTTCCCTTGTTTCTGTCGGGCATTCCGAAAAGGCAAGATGGGACAGCCTTTCAACATCCGCGGCGAGCTCCTGAAGTGTTTCGGTAGGCTTCTGTTGACGAGATTTTAACTGGAGCCTGCTGTAGTCTTTTAAACACTTCTCCCCAAAGCGCAAGCTCCAAGCGCCGGATAGAGCTTCGAAATCTAACCTTTGATTTTCGGGAAGCGTCTGCAGGATATCCGCTGCGTCTGCTCTCAGAGAAGCGGCGAGATGACAGGCCTTAGCTTGGGAATCCCATCCATTCGCATCCGCAACGATAGAAAATTGTGTCCTATACACCTGCCAGGAGGTCTTCCCATCATATGTAGATAGTTTCAGAACGGAACGAGCAGGCATCGATAAAAATTTGAAACCTTCAGAATTGTTTCCTACCGTCGCTATGCACTTCTTTAGGCTGTCAACTTCTTTGGCGGTCAACTTCTTTGGCGACGGCAGCAGAAACCCTATCATCAATTTGTTGTTCGACGGCAGAAACTCTCTCTTCTATATGTTCTTTTACAGATGAAATTCTTTCTTCTACTTGTTCTTTTACCGAAGAAACTCTTTCTTCTATTTGTCCAACTTTAGTTTCAACCGCGTCTATTCTGCCTTCCATAGCCTCAAATTTATTTATTACGCAGGTAATTTCTCTTTTCATTTCGTCCTGACCTGCTTTCATCTGTAGATAGTTTCAGAACGGAACGAGCAGGCATCGATAAAAATTTGAAACCTTCAGAATTGTTTCCTACCGTCGCTATGCACTTCTTTAGGCTGTCAACTTCTTTGGCGGTCAACTTCTTTGGCGGTTAAGAGATTTCATCTCTTCCTTAACGGATTCCTGGCCCAATTTCATTTCTCCTTTAACGGATTCCTGGCCCAACTTCATTTCTTCTTTAACAGAGTCTTTCATTTCTTCTTTAAATGTAGCAAAGGCTACCATGAATTGTTTTAACTGTTCTTCCATCGCTCTTGTGATTGGCATTCAAAATCCCACCGCTGCCACCAAAAATTGTTGCGTGCGTACGGGTTCGTTATGAAATGAATGCACAAGTCCGATGAAAAATGAACAAAAATTTATTATTATCACAACAGAAATGCTTAAATTTTCTCAAATTATCATGCAGTATCACAATATCTCACAGTAGTTATCTTTTAACTACTTAAATGTACAATAGAACGTAATTCAAAACAGCTAAAGAACGCTAATCCGCGAATTCGCTATAATCAACAACGGCAGTTTTCTAAAAACAACAAAAACTAAGCAACTCCTACAAACTGAGATGTTTTCCTCCTTTTATAAGATTTCAAAATCACGCGCTAGAATTTTCCAGTACTTTCTCGAAATCAAAAAGAGATATTTATTTATTTAATGCACGCGCTCTTGTATTTTCAATTTTCCGGCTTAGCTTTCTTTTAATATTCGTCACGCGCTGCACTGCGCGAGAAATAAAACCATTTAATTTATAATTGAACTAACATTAACTTTTTAAATACCAAATTCGTAACAATATAATGCAGGCGGTAATATTTGGTAGCAACGATTTGAAAAGTGATACAGCCTTTTAAAGTTTTCGACACATGCCAAAACGAATTAATAGTCCTTCTGGGCTAACGCCCTTTGAGCCAAAAACAATTTTATATAATATTTATGTGAATAAATCTGACGTATTCTTTTTGTTAGTTACGTAAAAATATCCTTTACTGAAAACAATAATACTGCGCATGCGCTTAGTATAATCGTCTGATATTTTGACCGAATTAAGAAAATAATCTAATACTTGAACTTAGCCATATCAGTGGTTTTAATTGTAAATGATGAGAGCTATTAAGTAATTGCAGAATGTGAATAATTTACTCAGATTTTTTAATAAATGAATTTCATAAAGTATGTATTCGTTTAAAGCAGAAAAGATACTAGATTATCATTACTTGCAGGTCTTGACTGATCCTAAGTGATTTCAGTGTGGCGTTGAAAAGAACTCCAATCAGTTAAATGTAAGCCATTTTGATTTAATTTAGAATATTTATTACCATATTAATTGTGCATTAAATAAGATTGCTTAACTTTTGATAGATTTTTGTCTTGAAAATCTTTAGTTTAGCTACTGTATTCGTTTAAAGCACAAAAGTTACTAGATCATCATATCTTGCAGATCTTGATTGATCCTGTGTGATTTCAGTGTGACGTTGAAACTCCAATCCGTTAAAGGTAAGCCATTTTGATTTAATTTAGAGTCGTCTTTACTATATTAATCGTGCATTAAGTAAGATTGCCTAGCGTTAGATACATTGTTGTCTTGAGAATTTTTAGTTTAGTTACAGTGATATAACTTTGTAAAAAAAGAATATTATGAAGAACGAAATTTCAAAAAACAGGAATAGGAAATTAACTCATGAAACCGATTGTTGTTGCTTATTTTTTCTTTGACATTTACCAGAACTTTTATTTTGAAAATCAATTTATTATTTTGCCGCAAGCGCGATCGCCAAATTTAATAGACATATGTAGATATTTTTTACCCTGGGATTACCAGTGGTTCACATTTGTATTTTTGAAATTTATTTACATGCTATCTTGTACTAAACACTGAAACATAGAGTTTATAATAATAATTCCGCATGAAAGATTGGCGCAAAATTCACGACATTTCCACCAAGTTTCAAGTTTCGACAGTAGTCAAATTTTGTGCTCGATGGGATATTACACAAGTACCGAAAAAAATAAATAAATAAAGTTCCGTTTTGAAACTTATGGAAATATAGTAAGTTACATTTGGTAAATTGTTCATTTTCTTTTGTTAATTAAGAATTAATTAAGAACACCATTATTATTTATTAATTAAGAACACCATTTAAAAATAATATACTGGAAGATTCTTTTGTAATATATTATTTTTCCTCTGCTTTAAGTGTTTTCTCTGTTTTTCTGTTTATTTTTGTAAAATAAATATCCTCAAAACTTTCCATGTAATAAAATAATTTATGAAAAGCGTTAAAGAGTAATTCACATAATAATTCTGACACTCGATAGTTCTGTGCTCAGTATAATCTCACTTGTAACAAGCATTCTCACTTAGCAAGAACCAGACAATCCAATATATTAGAAAAATCGAACCCCATGTCTATGTACTAACATAAAAATGTGAAAATTCCAGTGCAACCATCTGATCTAACATCCTAATGTTTCAGTGTAACAACCTCCGATGTATAACTCCAGGGTTTCATAGGAGCAGGTGACAATAAATGCTCGATTGTGAAACCCCTGACCTCAATAAACTCATCTGGCGCAAACTGAGAAATACTGGTTTCGCAGCCAATATACGCGAGAGAACAAAAAATTAACATTTATCGTTCATTTAACATTCAATAATATTTAATTAACCAACATTTCATTGCGTAACATCATGTAGTAAACGGTAATACATACTGTTTTCATTCATCAAATATTTTACTATAAGCAACTCACTGCGCATTTTGCAGAAGTTAACATGTAATTCTACCACTCAAATGAGACAATTACATTATTACTTTATTTTACATTAAGTTCTTTTTGCGAACAATTAACAACATTTAAACAGGGGGGGAAAATGTAACAGAACGAAAACAGAAAGGTTGTTGAAGTGAATAGTGTCACTGTTAGCATTCACAATAAGATTTTCACATATCGGTTCTGTGAGATCCGAAGTCGCCTAGCGCAAACTGAGAAATGTCAGGATTTAGTTGCAGTAGTTGCAGCCAATGTGCACTTGCTACCAAAGAATGCAACAGAGACACTACTGTCATCTGTTAGTATGGCAATAACTAAAATATGCGCCAGTAGTGCTGGCGGTAAAAAGGACGATTTTACAATGTTAAGAAAGGTCATAACTCGAATTTCCTATTTTTCGAATTGTGCCAGTACGGCAAGGCCATGAATGATTGGTACTTTTCTGTTTCTCCGGCGCTAATCTCGCCAAGCAGACTTTATTGGCGACAACATACAGTATACACATAAAAAAATGTTAATGTTAGTTCTAAGAATTTTTTATTCTAAAGCCATGAACATTTTAATATCGTTTAAAATTTTCTAAAAAGCCAATAAATTTGTATAAAGACATTAATATAAGAATTTACTATGCTCTCATGGTTCAACCTCCTGATTGAAAGCATATCACGTGCAGAGTCGTAGCTAGGGTTTTCAGCGCCCAGGGACAACTGAAGATTTCGCGCCCCCTACTGCTTGCCAAGGATGGAAAACATTTAATTCTAAAATGTCGTAACATGAGTTCCACGCCCCTTGGATTCTGCGCCCGGGAACAGATGCTCCCCTTGCTCTCTCTAGCTACGCCCCTGATCACGAGATTCCCAAGTGATCTCATCTCACGTAAACTACGCTACAAAAATCTAATCCTCTCAGTAATTATCTGCATTAATTTCAAGTTAAATCTTAATTTGGAATGCAAGTTTAAATGCAAGAATCATTTCAATTCGTACGAATAGCTTACTCAGAAGTTATGTAAAACCGCAGTGTTTTACTTCGTTAAAGCATTCTCATTAGAGCTGAGGAATTTAACCCTTGACTTCGCGTTTTCTATATTTTCGCCTTCGGATGAGTGGTGCGATTGACTTAAATAATAGACTAATTGACTAATTGACTTAAATACCGTGAATGGCCTTAAGGCATAAAACAACTATCTGGTAAAAACTCTTATGTAATTGTATGCCAGTATTGAAAGAAACAATCAATCTGATAAGAAATGGCCGCTACATGTTTTGAAAATGAGGCGTAAAAGAATACCAGGATATTCCGTTTGGCATCGGTTGTATCAGTTTTGGCGACTTTATGGTCTGCGCCGGCAAAATAAAAAAGTACCGAAGGACGATTTTACATTGTAAAGAGAGGTCATAACTCGAATTTCGTATTTTTCGAATTGTGCCAGTACGGCAAGGCCATGAATGATTTGTTCTCTTATAGGAACGGCGGCTCATGAAATCCATATATGGAACCGGCAAAAGATTTCGAGACCAGCAGGGAAATGATGGGCTGAATAGATGTTCCGCTCTCTGTTTAGCGTGACGCGTCTCGTTATGAACTAGCCCACCAGCGACCGAACGGTAAAGTCCCTGAACACTGGTAGTTCGGTCCGAGGTTCGAATTCCGCGAACGGGCTGGCTGCATGGGCGTTTTCGTGGTTTTCCCCATGTTTAACGTGTATACGAGCCAGTTTCCCTTAGAAAGCCCTCCACGAAGGCACTCGCTCCCCTTAGGCAGATAGGCCTCGTGTGCTTTGCCATAATTAAATACACCATTATGAACTTTTTACTTCTTTCGGAAGCGTCTGCCTCATTACGTTGATACTGCACACGACAACCCCGAAGCAAAAAGTAACGCCTTTGAGTAATTCCGTATTCCGCTGAAGTGTTCGTGGCGAAGGAGATTCCAAACGATAGCATTTCAAAACGGAGTGTCGTGCGTTACTAAGGTTGCTTTGAATTCAGCTTCTTTTTGACTTTTCAACCTTTTAATGTTTCAGCCAAATTTCCTGAGGTAAACCAGATAGCTGTTAGATTAAAGTGACCACACGTCCCGATTTTGGCGGAACAGCCCCGCTTTTTGAAGGAATGTCCCGCTGATTTTTTAAAATGTCCCGCTTTTTAGAAAACATCTACATTTCTTATTTTAAATTTACTGTAAAATTATATTTTTTAATTATTATAGTAAATATAAAGAAATGAAAAATATATAAATAAAAAAAAAAAAAAAAAAAAAAAAAAACATAAAATGCATGCAGAGTTAATTAAATTAGGCGATGCAACAAGTTAGATTTACTCGGTGGTTTTCGGTCATTGTCGTTACGTCTTGCCAAGGAATATGTATTATTAACGGAGAAACAGCTAGCATTAGCTGAAGGGTTATTTGCTTTCCACACCATAAACCAGTATCAAAGTTTCAGATCAATTGATTGTACGTCACAAATGATCGAAACATTGTACGACAAAAAATTTGCACGTGCAAGGACAAAAAAACGAAGCAATTATTTTTAATGTTTTTTCACCATATTCGTTTTCACAACTGCAGAAAGAATTAGATTGAATGCACATTTATATCCATATATTATGATGCTTCCAACCACAAAGATTTAAAATTATTTCTCACAATTATTAGACTTTTTGATCCAGAAACAGGAATTAAAATTAGAACATTAGATTTTGTTTCATTGCCGGGTGAAACTTCATAAATAATTGATTCAATAAGTACTATTTTAAAAAAGAATTAATTTGAACAATAATATTATTGCTTATTGTGAGGATAACACTAATGCAAATTTTGCTGGAAAAAGCTAGAAGAGGTATCAAAACCGTTTTTACGAAACTTAACGAACATATGAACCAAAAAATTGTTGGAGAAGTTTGTACAGTGCATATTCTATACAGCACTATTCAAACAGCATCTGCGCAGAAATCTAATATTAAAAAAGGAGATTTTATGGGAATATGTGGAAAAATCTTTTTAATATATTAGTAACCATTTTCCAAAAAATAATATTTTCGAAAATGATCTTTTTGATAAGGTGTCATTGCTAAAAAAATATGTTATTGAAGAAAAAATTAAATGTTGGTTGTCTGCAAATGTGGAAACAGACAAAAAGTGGACGGAATTATTGCAAAGTATTCACTCGGATAAAAATATGACCGCCAAAGAAAATCATAATTTTTAAGTAAAATGTTAAATTAATTAAAAAACAAAATATTCAAATTATAGTTTTGACTAATCTGTAGAATATGGTAACAGGTAGTTTGGCGACATTTTGGTAAGGTCATGAAGGTTACTAGCTAGGACTTTAGCAATAATCTGAGAAGTACACAGTTCGAATCACAGATTATTTTGTCTCAGAGAAATGAGAGATCATGAGACATGTAATGTGACATTTTCCGGAAAATTCCAATGAGGATTTTAGCTAATAAGCACTTAGAAACAATTTCGCTGCTAAAGTGCAGAATAGCCCACTTATTTGTTTGGCGTTTTTTACAAGAGTAAGAAGAATTGGATTTTTGTAAATTTTCTTTCATTTTTTAAGTGAAAATAGGTCGATGTGTACATGGATAAAGTCAAGAAATTGCGCAATGCCAATTTTGTGCAATTCTCGGATGTTTTTTTAAGTGAAAATAGGTCGACGTGTACATGGATACCGTGTATATGCAATTCTTAAAAACGCGGCAAGCAGTGGG